AGCAATAATCATATATCTTGTTGTACACTTCTATGGAGTAGCAAGGAGCAATATAATCATCAATTTTCTGTCCTGTTTTATAGATAGCACTAATGGCATGGCAGCAGGGTAAACCTGACAGCTGCCAATATCTACACGAGCAAGTCCAGAGCTGCAAGTTAACAGTAAATTTGAATTTCTCGTGCTCTTGCACTTCAAATCCATCTTTCCCATTCCACATCACATGGCAGAAACCTGATCTCCTTATGTTTTGCTTCAGTTTTTTGAAAATGTTGGGACATATAGTTCCTTTCCAGTTAACTGACTTCCCTCTATTTTCTTGTACCCTCACCATAATTTTGCACCTGATCCACTCAAGCATTGAGACAATAGCAAGGTACCTAGCTAACAGGATGTATTCACACATGTTGTTATCAACTGAATCACAATTAGACCCCAGCTTCATGTAGGCCCTACTCCAATGTACTGGATCAGTGTTCATCATATCTTTTGCACCCTCAATAGTAAATTGTGCTAGCCTGGCCCTGTTGTAGTTGAAAATCACTTTGTTTGGTGATTTTGCACATCTCCAAAACCTTTTCTGAAGATCATGGTCTGGGTGTTTTTTCTTCCAATTAGCATATATGTGTCTTGCACACATTCTATGCTCAGCTTTAGGAAAAATGTCCTCCATTGCCCCTATAAGTCCCTTTTGTTGATCTGACATAAATACATATCCATCTCCTTGATTGCTTATTTTCAAGTCCTGGTTTATCTTGGCAAGAAACCAGAACCATGACTCATAATTTTCTTTCTCCACAACAGCCCAAGCAATAGGATACATCTGGTTATTTGCATCTCTTCCTATAGCATACAACATCTGTCCATAGCAAGCACCTTTGAAAAAACAACCATCAAGGCCAATAACTTTTCTACAACCTGCCAAGAAACCTTTCTTCAAGGCATCAAAACACATGTAAAACCTTTGAAATACATATGACCCATCCTTTTCATTATGGTCCAACTTCACTGCAACTGTGCAACTGTCACATCAGCAAATAAGTCCTCAAGTACAGTTTTCCTCAAATCTTCTAACTTCCAATTTGGATTTGCTCTTATAAGCCTGCCATATTTTGTAGCAATAACAGTTGATGTGACCAGTTTGTTATCTCTTCTTGGAATGCAATGATGCTCATCTACAAAGGTAGACACCTGTAGCCACTTATTTCTAGTAGTTTTAGAAGCATAGATCATCCAGTTGCAGCCAGGCCAAGTACACTTTGCACCTACTTTATGATTTTCATCCTTTGTGAAAGCAAATTGCACATGTTTCTTAATGCCATATTTTATTAGAGCTTTCTTCATCTGATGTCTTCCTCTAAAAACCATTCCTATCTCAAATGTAGGAATTTCTGATTTGCTGTCATATTTTCTCCATTCACTTTTCCTTCTCACTAGCTGTGTGGCCCCCTCACCATCACTTTCCTCATCAAAAGAGCAGTCATCATCTGATGACACAACATCATCTTCTATGCCATCCAGCTTCTCATCACCAGACAATCCTTCAATCACATTATTATCTTTAATGACAGGCCCCACAGCATCCCCTAATTTCTTTGCTCTCTTCTGCCTCCTAATTTCCCTTGCTATTTTCCTTAATTTCTCTGCCTCTGATTCTTTAGCAGAACTGTGCTCTGACAAAGGCTGGTAGTCAATGTCACTTTCATCATCACCTTCTTCTCCTTCTTTTACATTTTCATGTAATACTTCATTAGCACTTGTTCCATTTTCAACATGATCTGTAGATCTATACTCAAATTCAGAAGTAGCTGCTGGGTTCTGTCCTTGAGTAAATTGTGGCATTGTTCCTCTCTGTGGTGTACCTGCTACTGCTTTGGTCTTTGCAGATTTTGCTTTATTTCCTACTGGAGCTGAAGAAGATGCACCTGGACATGAATAAGATGCACCTTGGGCTACACCTGGAGTTGGAGGAGGAGCACATGCACCTTGAGCTGCACCTGAAGATGTAGTTGCTGAAACTGGAGCTGCAAGAGGTACTTTTCTTCTTTTAACTGCAACTCTACTTGCTCTACTTTTCTTAATCTTCACTGGACTCTCAAATGTAATAAGAAAGTCATTAGCCTCACTTATTATCCTCAAATTTTCTTCCTCAGCAGCTGTCCTTTTCACACCTACAACAACTTCTGGCTCTGCTCTGTGTTCTGCTGAAGCTGCTACATTTGATAAAAACATCTCATCGACCATGTTTGTCTCCACATCATCCACATTTACCAATGCAAATCTGCTACCTTTATGCTTGGAATATGTTTCTGAAACTACCACAGGCACATCATCTACCACAGGCACATCATCTACTCTGTTTTGCAACTGCTTTACTGCTTCTTCACACAACTGCACTTCCTCCACATAGATCTCTGCACATGACCCAATAGGTGTTGCATTCCCAATCTTCTCCACACTTGAATCATCAAAAATAAATTGCAAACCCTCACTCAGTTTTTTCCCTGGAACAAGCCAGTGCATCTTGTAACTATAATCCCCCCTACAATGTCCTCTTTCTACATGATACATGTCCTCAGCATAAGACAACAAAAGCTCAAACTTTAGGCTTTTCCTATTGAACGGAAAAGTAATCATCAGACCTCCGTTGTATACAAGCAATCCATCCACTGTCTCAAATTTGCCAAAATAATGTAGTGACACATAACTTATTTCTTCTTCATCTGCTGCCTCATCGACAAGACCTGCCCAAAAAAACAATCTTTACCTCATTACATAGCTCAGGACCTACCCATAAAAACAATCTTCCTATGATCTACCCTACACCTCCACCATCTGCCTGCCATGGCAGCAAAATTGGGTGCAGTAGATGACTTCTAAGCGCAGCTCTGATTTCTCCTAAACTAAGATCATGCAGTAGATGACTTCGACGGGAAAGAAAGGGGGGCGGTTGACTCACCATCGGGCGGCGTGGAGGCCGGCTGCAGGGCGGACGCCATGGCGGCGTCGGCGGACGCCGCCGGCGTGCTTGACGCCGTCGCGGCAAGGTTGGGCGTGCTTGACACCGTTGCGGCACAGGGAGGTTGGACCAAAATCACCTGAATTGGGGGCTGATTGGTCGACCGGCTCCCCCAATCGATGAAAACACCTGAAATCTGCCAAGTCAGCAATGTCCAGTCAGCAAGGAGACTAGTCAAAACCACCTAAATCTGGTGCAAAACCACCATGGGGGAGAATTGATCCGGTTTTGAAGAGTTTAGGGGCTGATTGATCCGGTTTTAGACTTTGGGGGGAAATCGGTCCATCAGACAGGATTTGAGGGGGAAAACGATACTTTCCTCTACTAGAAAACAGCGTACCGTTAGCACCAACAAATCGGCCCGGCCCAACAAGCTGTCTGATGTAAGCAGTCGTCCCCCTACGGGATGGCCTCACAAATTCTATCTCTTCTGGCCTATAGCACAAAATGCAGTGGCCGAGCGGGTGAGAAGAAGATGGCTGCCACCAGCCTCAGTTCCTCTCCCTCCAAGGTTGCCACTGCCAAAGTAAGCTCCCCCACCCCTCTTCATCTTCTTCCTTCCCCTCCTCGAGTTGCTAGGAATCGTGTCGTCGTTTGAATTATAACGGAAGATATGCCGGCCATGCCTTTTGTTGTAACGAGTTTAGTGCACGAGGAGATTGAAATTCTGCTGCTCAGTTCAGTTCATATCTTGAATGCTAACGCTATCATCCAATTTAGGCATGAGTTATCTTGACAAGTTCCCAGCTAGTTGTTGGACTATCTAGTTATCTAGAATCACAGCAAAATTTGTTGGCGAAATGAGATAATTTGCTAACTGAATCTTCGGTTCTTGGCGCAACCGGATGTGTATGCACAACAGCTAGGAGGCATCTCCAGATCTTCCCCGTCCTACACCCAGCTCGCCTTCTGCTCCAGGCATGCTTTCCACAAGATAGGAACCGCTGCAGCTCCGCAGAGGCCTCAGAATGAGCTCAAGCACGCAAGACCCTGCGCGACCACGGACAACGATCGGGCGGCGCCGGCGGAGGCACAGGAGGAAAATGCGACCATCAGCGCCGGCGTGAACCCGGTGGCGTCCGGCAACGGCCAGCAGCCGCAGCCGGGCGAGCCGCCGAAGCGGGTGCCGCTGACGGCGCGGGAGCGGCTGCGCGCGGCGCGCGTGCTGGGCAAGTACGCGGAGTCGGGGGCCGGGGCGTCGCCGGCGGACAAGAAGGGCTCGTCGTCGTCGTCGTCCAAGCCGGAGTTCGGGAGCCGGGTGCTGGACGCGCTGCGGGAGACGGACGGCGGCAAGAAGGGCGGGCGGAAGCGGTCGGGGCTGCCGGAGGCGCCGAGCAACCTGCTGGACGACACCAAGCGCGGCATGCCCAAGGACGGGTGGACGTTCGACTGGCTGGCGGCGCTGCCCGTGGGCACGGACGTGCTCATCGTCGCAGCGTCCTTCGGGATCATCACCACCGTCATGTTCGGGACCACGTACCTCGTCTGGAAGCTCGGCGCCATACATTTCAACGAGTACTAGCTTTCTCTACGTGGTTCTGTAACAATAATGCCGTCTATGGTATGATGATGAGGCAGATTTTGAGCACAGGAAAATACACCGTGATTGTACGAATTAAAACCAACGATTTTATTGGAGTATTATAGAAAAGTTCCATAGTGTTAAGTAACTCGTCTGTGTTATGTTGAACACCAAAGTGGCTGTAGTTTAGTGGTGAGAATTCCACGTTGTGGCCGTGGAGACCTGGGCTCGAATCCCAGCAGCCACATCTCACTGTTTTTGTTTTTCTATTTTTTTTTTCACATAACGATTAACGGCTCTGATTAGCTCTTATGGAGGCACTGACAGCCAGACCCCACACCGTTTGCACGTCGCCCCCCTTCCATCCCCTCTGCCCTCACGCCCTCACCCCACTTCCGCCATAGCCGATTAGCCGCCGGCGAGAGGCCCAGGTTCCTCTCCTCTGGAGTGTCTGCGCGAATGGATCCCGGCGAAGGCGGTTCCCCTGCCGCTCCATCGACTTCCGGAGCAGCCCCAGGTGATTATTGACCTATTTTCCTCGTCTAATCGGTCGAACCAGTGCCACCCATCGACGCTAAAACCCTAGCGCGCCGCTGTCTCTAACCATTGCAGGCGCGGCCGCGGAGATTAAGGAGGACGCTGGAAAGCAGGTGGTGGTGATTCTCATCGGCCCTCCGGGCAGCGGCAAGTCCACGTTCGCCGAGGCCGTCATGGCCGGTGCGGCCGCCGCCGGCCGCCCATGGGCCCGCGTCTGCCAGGTGCGCCCCACGCGCTCCATTCTCTCTACGTGCTAATTTGCTGTGCTGCTGCCATTGCTTTCCGTCTCCGCCCTGAATTTGATGTCTCGAGACAAGCATTCTGTAACGCCTAATGCGGGCTCATCTGATTCGGCTTTAAAAATGCTTATATTTTGAATAATTTGTTACTGGATCACATGTGTGAAAACTGTAGTTTCAGTCTCATGGTATTAATAATTTTACTTGCCTTGCAAAAATGGCACCGGATAATGTCTCAAAGTTAAAACACCGAAATCTTATTCCATGAATAAGTTGGGGTGATTTGGGCAGTGCAATTTTTACTTGGCTTGAATGTTAATAACCATGTCGTCAACCAAACTCAAGCAATTGTGACAGGATTCTGTGTGGGTCTTTATTGTGTTCTAGGATACAATTGGAAAGGGCAAAGCTGGAACCAAAATACAGTGTTTGAAGGCCGCAGCGGACGCTTTGAAGGAGGGAAAGAGCGTTCTCATTGACCGATGCAACTTGGAACGAGAGCAGCGCTCTGATTTTGTGAAGCTTGGCTGCACCGTACAAGCGGATGTGCATGCTGTTTTCTTGGATCTTCCTGCGAAGGTTTGCATCTCACGCTCGGTTAGCCGGACTAGCCACGAAGGAAATGTGCAGGGCGGAATGGCTGCCATGGTTGTGAACCGCATGCTAAAGAACAAACAGGCACCCTTGCTGACTGAAGGTTTCAGTCGGATCACGTTCTGTACGGATGACGATGACATTAAGAAGGCAGTTGACATGTATAGTGCTTTAGGGCCTTCACATAGTCTTGCTTCAGGAGTATTTGGTCAGAAGAGCAAAGGGCCTGTACAAACTGGTATAATGAAATTTCTCAAGAAGGCAGATACTTCTAGCATCAACAAGTCCAGTGGAACTATGGTTACATCAAGTGAAAGAAAGACAGGGCAACAAAATACAACGTTGAAACAGGAGAACCTTGAAGCTGGTGGCGCCTGTTCAATGCAAGTAGAAAAGAAGTTGGATAACCTGAAGGAAAAAGAAGAACAAAGTAAGGAAAAGGTTTCTTCTGACACCAGTTTGTGCACTCTGGCATTTCCATCGATTTCTACTGCTGACTTCCAGTTTGATCTTGAGAAAGCATCTGAGGTTATAGTAGATGCAGCTACTGATTTCGTGCAGAAGCATGATAATGTAAGACTAGTTCTTGTTGACTTGAGCCAAAAATCAAGAATATTGTCATTAGTCAAGGACAAGGCTGCTAAGAAGAGCTTTGACTCCAGCAGATTTTTCACATTTGTGGGAGACATCACTCAGTTGCACTCCAAAGGAGGTCTTCAATGCAACGTCATTGCTAATGCTGCCAACTGGTAATTATTTTTGTCACTTAAATTCCTATGATGTGCAGGTTCTATCAAATGCAGATATACCTTCAGGTTATTTTTTATAGAGTGAAGTGCACGGTTAGGTCCTTGAACTGTTTCAAGGGTGTCACGTAGGTCCTCAAAGTATGAAAATCGCCATCCAGGTCCTCAAAGTATAGTAAGTGTGTCATGCTAGGCAAAATATAGGTCCTCGGACTACTTTAGTGTTGAACTGATTTTGGACCTGGATGACACACTTATTACACTTTAAGGACCTAGACGATGATTTTCATAGTTTGAGGACCTACGTGACACCTGTGAAGTAGTTCAGGGACCTAGAATGCACTTCACTCTGATTTATAAGTATATGTTGGACCTAGAATGCACTTCAGTCTGATCCTTGTTGGGAGTCAAACTGGACCTTTTGTTTTTGTCTATCGCAAGCAAAAATAGTTAGGACCCTCTATCATGGCCCTCGAGATAATATCTGTAATTGTTTCATGCAGGAGGTTAAAACCTGGAGGTGGAGGGGTTAATGCAGCTATATTTAATGCTGCTGGAGAAGCTTTACAGCATGCAACCAAGGAATGTGCTGACACGTTGAGACCTGGTAACTCTATTGCTGTTCCACTTCCATCAACTTCCCCTCTGCATCAACAGGAAGGGGTGACCCATGTCATACATGTGCTCGGACCAAATATGAACCCAATGCGTCCAGATTGTCTGAAGAGTGACTATACCAAAGGGTGTAAGGTTCTTCGTGAGGCATATAATTCACTTTTTGAGAACTTTGCATCCATTGCCCGGAGCTACCCAGGGAAGCAGAATGATGAAACTTCATCAAGGAAGTCAGCATCTGGAGTGATTTCACCTAATGATTCAAAAACGAAGCGAGAGGGCAGCGATGATTCTCAAAGGACCAAAAAGTGTAAGTTGCTTCCATCTATTTTGACTTCAAGTCAACACCATGAGCGCAAAGGGACCAACACACTAAGTTATCATGATAACTCCATGGGTTCATCTGATGCTCCGAACCAAGCAAGAGAGGAAGACAACAAGAAGAATGGTGCCGTCACCAACAAGACTTGGGGATCCTGGGCACAGTCCCTTTATGAGGTTGCCATGCACCCAGAAAAATATAAGAACGCGGATTCTATCCTTGAGATATCTGATGAATTTGTTGTTCTGAAGGACCTCTATCCCAAGGTATTCTGAACTTAAATATATTGCCTCCCCCCTTCATTCCTAGTGCTCTTCTTGACATCTCAGCTAAGCTGTTTATATATGCAGGCCAAAAGGCATGTGTTGGTGATATCTAGGACAGATGGTCTTGATTCTCTAGCAGATGTCAAGAAAGTGCACTTACCACTGCTTAGGAGTTTGCATTCAGCTGGGCTGAAGTGGGCACATAAGTTCCTAGAGGAAGACGCATCTCTGACGTTCAGGCTTGGATATCATTCGGTACTGCTATAACCCAGTGTTTAACTGTTTATTCTCAACTGGTCTCTAAACTTTGTGATGGATGGCATGAGCAAGAGCGATCTTATCTGTCTTGGTTTCTGCAGGTTCCGTCCATGCGGCAGTTGCACCTCCATGTCATAAGCCAGGATTTCAACTCACCCAGCTTGAAAAACAAGAAGCACTGGAACTCCTTCACCAGTGCATTTTTCCTTGATTCTGTCGATGTCATGGACGAGGTTGACCAGCATGGATCCGTGACTATCAGCCCTGACGAGAGGCTTCTCGCAATGGAGCTAAGGTGCCACAGATGCAGGAGCGCCCACCCGAATATTCCGAAGCTCAAAACCCACATCGCGGCCTGCAAGTCCCCCTTCCCCTCCCATTTTCTGAAGAAAGACAAGCTGTTGTCAGCTTCCACGGTGCGTACGGGCTGCAGTTAGAGCGTAGAAGTTAGCAGCACTATCCTTGTAAGCACATTTTACATTTCGTGCTTTTAGAAGGATGGGCCACGTCGAGGTTTATTTTGTATGGCAATGTTACTTGCGCAAACTTATTCCACAGTCAGCTGAGCTTTTTGTAAATGTTCATGTCCTATTTCGCACTCGATATGGTTTGCTATATAGCCATGTCTTCAGACCTTTGGGTTGACCAAACTCACTACCATTGTTAGGGATAGCCAGCAAGGGAAAGAAATATGGAATGACATAGTGGCGCGTCGGAGCCGTTTACACAAATAGATTCGATTTGTGTACCAGGAAGCGTGTATATAAATGTTGTGCTAATTCAAAAGAAAACAAGGTGAAATCTGCAAGCCACGAAGAACGTAGGAACATATGTTCATGTAGGTTCAATTCAAAAGAACCAGACAGTTCAGTCAGGACCAGTACGGTACGGAAGTGGTTTATAGTTCCATAATGAGTTAAAAGCATCCCAGGGACCCAATTTGCATGGAATGTGATGATTTAGTTTTAAACTTGTAAAATGCAACTCCATCATACCCCAACTTGCACTGGATGTGATGACTTAGTCCCCGGCCTATCACAGCACGACAAGTGACAACCAGGTGGTTGGACCGGTCGTTGCCGGCACTTTTGCAAAAAAACACACACCCTGTTGTTTGTCTAATTAACCCGCGCTACAGGGGCACCTGAATTAAATCTGTCTCAAATCCCCTTCGCGTCTGTTCGAGAACACAGGTGCTGTCCTGTCGGGCGATAGGAGTTCACGGGCTGGCGATTGGTGATGGTGACACCAGCGTCGGGGGGTGTCATCGTCGGTGTGGAGGCGCCTGCATCCGCTCATCTCGTCCGCCCATTCGGCGTCTTCCCTCATGATTACTGTGAGTTGTTTTCCTCCCTCTCCTCTGCTTTGCTCTGTCGCTCGTCGCCCGCCGTTTCCGCCATTCACAGCAGCTCTAATCGGTGCGATTCGAGCTCGATTCAAGGCCGTCTAGTGGTGTTTCTTGCGTAGGGGCATGTATGACGCAATAGAGCTAGGGTTTTGGCCGACGATTTTAGGCTTGGGTTTGGCATGAGAGCTAGGGTTTATGGCCTTTTAAGTTGGCGTTAAGTTCTGTTGTAAGTTGTCCTGTAGTCATGGATCTGTTTGTGTGGTTAAATGAAACTCATTTTTTGGTCTTGAAGATGTTTTTGACAGAGTCCAAATTGTGCTAAATTTATGAACCGTTTAGTTTAGTTTTGCTAATGCTATCTGCAGTGCAATTTCAGTTAATTGAATGGTCGTGCTAATGTTGTATTTCATTTATGGTCATGTTTATGCAGAAGAAAATTGCTGCACTTAGTCTGCTCTATTTATCTTTAGTAAACTGAATATTTCCAGTTTAATGTAGTTAACTGAATATTTTTAGTTTACAGTAGTTAACTGAATATTTGATGCAGTGAAAATTTCCTACAGTGGAGTCTTTACAAATTAGTTGAATTTAATATGAAGTGTTCAGTAAACCCACTAGGTAACTGAAATTGTGCATTTAACTCCATTTTCTTTAGTTGACTAAATATTTCAATTAACTGAACTTTCAGTTATTGTAGTTTACTGAATTTGATGCAACGGTAAGTTGGTACAATGGAGTCTTTTGAAATTGGTTGAGTTCAAGATGAAGTGTTCATTAATGCCACTAGTTAACTGAAATTGTGCATTTAACTCAATGTTCTTTTGTCAATTGAATTACTTTCATTTAACCGAATATTCAGTTAACTAAATTTTCAGTTAGTGAACTTTATTGAATTTTGTGGACCTTTGAAGTTCATTTATGCAGTGCTTAGCCATTACAACGTTCATTTTTTGGATGCAATGTGTGACGCAGCAAATGAAGAAAGGGTAGATACTCTTTTTTTTACACTGGAACTTGAGCATGGTGGAATTTTCTATGGCCCAATTAGTAAGCTGGAGTAACGGAACCCTTCTATTGAGGTGCTAGATTATGTTGACTCTGGCACTTTCTCCTATGCATTTCTTGAACAACACTTGCTTTGGTTGGGATATCCAGTGATTGAGCACATCATTTACTGGCGCAAACCTAATAAACCAATCTCAGACGATTTGATCGGAATTAGAGGTGATGAGGATTTACAACATATGATCAGAGCTAGTGCTGAGGATAAAATGCTTGTACTCATGGTTGACCATGCAAATTTTATCAGCAACTTCAGGTATGATTTGGTGTGCACATTGCCCCTGTCTTTGATAACATCAGCAGCAAGTGCATCATCTTCCCATAGCATAATTTCAGTCTTTGGGGAAGATCCCCATGTCAGAGATTCCTACAAATGGAACAGAACCACAGAGTTTGCTGATTGAGGGTGCAGAGCACAACATGCTAAGTGAAGATGGACAAACAGTTATTGAAGAATAGTGGTTTCAGATTCAGATTTTAGTAATAGTGACAGTGACTATGACATAAATGATGGTGATGATGACCTTTATGATGACACCATTGACTTTGATGTTGATGAAGAAGCTGAGCAAGATGAGGAAGATGTGGAGCCTGACTATTTGCTTGAGGATGAAGATCTAGACCTATCAATTGAGCAAGTAGAGGAACTTAGGTACAAGTTTAAAGCTTCCAATGCAAAGGTGGACATGATTTCCCCTACATTTAAAGTAGGGATGGTATTTGCTGATGTGGTGGAGGTAATACATGCTCTGACTACATATTCAGTTAGAAACGGAGTGTAGATTAAGAAGATAAAGAATGACAAGAGAAGGATTGAGGCGATTTGTGAAAGTGGTTGCCCATGGTACCTTTTTGCTGGCAATGACATCGGGACAGGAGGATTTGTCATCAAGACTTACTATGGAGAACATAGATGCCAGAAGAAATGGAAGTTAAAGTCACTGAAAGCAAAATTCCTCTACAAGTATTTCATAGATGAGTTCAGAGATGACCAGAAGATGTCACTTGGTACATTTTCAAGAAACATCACCAAGGAATTTAATGTTACCCCTAACAGATGGAAGCTAGCTAGGGCAAGAACATCGGCACTTAAGGAGATCCATGGTCATGAAGAATAGCAATTCAGTAGGCTTTGGGATTTATGGTCATGAATTAAAGAGTACCAACCCTGGGTCTACATTTCTTCTGTCAACTAAGCTTGTTAAAGACAAATATTTTCCACCGGACAGGAAATGTGTGAAAACTCTATATTGGTCTTATGATGCATGTAAAAGATGGTGGCTCAAGGGGTGCATGCCTATTATTTTCATTGATGGTTGTCACATGAAAACAAGGTTTAAAGGAGTATTGCTGAGTGTTGTGGGTATTGATCCCAATGACTGCATTTTTTCCATTGCAATGGGTTGGGTAGAAGTAGAGTGCACAAGTTCTTGGAGTGGTTTCTCACTACTTTGAGAGATGATCCGAACATCACAAATACTGCTCCTTTCACAATTATGAGTGACAAGCAAAAAGGGTTTGATCAATGCTATGCAAAAAGTCTGGCCAGATGCTGAGCATAGGTTTTGTGTTAGGCATATTTATCAGAATTTCAATGAGAAGCACAAAGGAGACTTGCTGAAGCAAAATGATGACCCACAAGTATAGGGGATCAATCGTAGTCCTTTCGATAAGTAAGAGTGTCGAACCCAACGAGGAGCAGAAGGAAATGACAAGCAGTTTTCAGCAAGGTATTATCTGTAGGCACTGAAATTGTCGGTAACAGATAGTTTGATAGCAAGGCAATTTGTAACGGGCAAATAATAGTAATGGTAAAAAAGGTGCAGCAAGGTAGCCCAATCCTTTTTGTAGCAAAGGACAAGCCAAAATGGTCTCTTATTGTAAGCAAACGTTCTTGAGGACACACAGGAATTTCATCTAGTCACTTTCATCATGTTTGTTTGATTCACGTTTGTTACTTTGATAATTTGATATGTGGGTGGACCGGTGCTTGGGTGTTGTACTTACTTGAAAAAGCCTCCCACTTATGATTACCCCTCTCGCAAGCATTCGCAGCTACGAAAGAAGAATTAAGATAAATCTAACCATAGCATGAAACATATGGATCCAAATCAGCCTCTTACGGAACAACACATAAACTAGGGTTTGAGATTCTGTCACTATAGCAACCCATCATCTAATAACTATTCCACAATGCTTTCCCTTAGGCCCAAAGATGGTGAGGTATCATGTAGTCAATGTTCACATAACACCACTAAGGGAAACAACAACATACATATCATCAATATATCGAACGAATACCAAATTCACATGATTACTTATGACAAGATTTCTCCCATGTCCTCAAGAACAAACGTAACTACTCACAAAACATATTCATGCTCAAGATCAGAGGGGTATTGAATAGCATTAAGGTTCTAAACATATGATCTTCCACCAAATAAACCAACAAGTATCAACTACAAGATGTAATCAACACTACTAGCAACCCACATGTACCAATCTGAGGTTTTGAGATAAAGATTGAATACAATAGATGAACTAGAGTGTGAGATGAGATGGTGCTAGTGAATATGTTGATGAAGATTGGTCCTCCCGCGATGAGAGGATCGTTGGTGATGACGATGACTTCGATTTCCCCCTCCTGGAGGGAAGTTTCTTTGGTGGAATCTCTCTGCCAGAGAGAGAAAGTGCTCCTGCCCAGGTTCCGCCTCGAGACGACGACGCTTCATCCCGAAAACCCTACTTCTGATTTTTTCTATGGCAAATGGCATTATATAGGAGAATATGGGCCCCGGAGGCCTGCCAGGGGCGCCACAAGCTCAGGGCGCACGTCCTGGGGTTGGGGTGTGCCCCCCAGGCTTGTCGCCTCGTGGTGGTTCCCTTCTGATAATTCTTTTGCTAATTTTTTAAATATATTCCAAAATACTTCTTCGTCAATTTTCAGCCCATTTGAAGATGTTCAGAAAAGTGCCTCCAGTGTAGCCTTTTTCAGTCTAGAATTCCAGCTGCCAGTAATCTCCCTCT